TTTTTTTTTTTTTTTTTGAGACAGAATCTCGCTCCATCACCAGGCGCCAGGCTGGAGCGCAGTTGCACGATCTCTGCTCACCGTAACCTCCGCCTCCTGGGTTCAAGCAATTCTCCTGCCTCGGCCTCCTGAGTAGGTGGGACTACAGGTGCATGCCAACATGCACAGCTAATTTTTGTATTTTTAGTAGCGACAGGGTTTAACCATGCTGGCCAGGATGGTCTCGATCTCTTGACTTCTTGATCTGCCCACCTCAGCCTCCTAAAGTGCTGGGATTACAGGTGTGAGCCACCGCGCCCAACCGACTTCAGACTTTTAAAAGCACATTCACATGCATTATGCCTTTGTGTGCAGTACTCACAAAATGTTTACATTCCTAGCTTAAATCTTACAAGATAGGAAAGGTATTTTGCCCAATGTCTACTATTTCCGAGCACAAAGATCTCTTCCCCATGCCACATACATACACGTCTTTACTTTTATCTCTGACCTCCATTATTCTCTATTCCTGAAGTGAGAAGAGAGAGAGCAAGAATGAGAGAGAGAGAGAGAGAGAGAGAGAGAGAAAGCCATGCAACCGAACTCGCTATTAAAATTAAATGGAATGGGTTGCTCTCAGTGACTCACACCTGTAATCCCAGCACTTTGGGAGGCCAAGGTGGGTGAATCACTTGAGTTCAGGAGTTTGAGACCAGACTGGCCAACATGGCAAAACCCCATCTCTACTAACAATACAAAAATTAGCCAGATGTGGTGGTGCGTGCCTGTAATCCCAGCTACTTGGGAAGCTGAGGCAGAAGAATCACTTGAACCTGGGAGGCAGAGGTTGCAGTGAACTGAGAGGTGCCACTGCACTCCAGCCTGGGTGACAGAGTGAGGTTCTGCTTCAAATAAATAAATAAATTGAATAAGAAGTTAGTGACACTTGGAAAACACTTTGGAAGCACATCCAGATGCTAGAAAGAGCCCTGTGTTAAGCAAACAAAAACCTTGGACCACTGTGTGGTTCAAAAATAGACTGCATCTGATGATAAACCTTGACTAATAATGTTTACATAAAGTAGAAGAAAACCCCAAGCTTCATACCTAGCTTTTTAATGTACACTTAGAGCCTACACTTTTGTGTAATTTGCCAAATATTCTTCAAAGGAGTTATGATTTAGTATTAAAAAGAATTAAAAAAAAAAAAAAACCTCAAAGTGTGCCATAGGTAAAAGAACCACTTTAGGGGAATATTTTACTAAACGTGTTTTCATGGAGGAATCAAATAGCTTGCAATTATTTTACAGTTACCTTTCAGCCCCTTGCTATGTAATTACTCATTTGGTTATATGTGCTTTAAAATGAGCAGCCCCAAGATCTAAAAAAAAGAATTACACAGAAAATGGTGATTATCCTTAGAGTTACATAGTTTCTCAAAGGATAATTGCCATTTAATTTGCTAGGTCTGAATTCATATCATGACCTCATGGTAATCATGCACTTACAGAGGGACTTGCATGGATGTTGGGGCCTCAAAATATTGGGGGAAAGCACTTAGGAATAGGTGCAAATCCAAAATGTTGAATGCTATGTGTCCATACATGCTGCTGGCTTCAACAGGCTCACAGTGAATCTTGGTGGATGCATGCATGTGTATACACGTGCACACACAGACATACACCTATAGGTGCCTTAGGTCTCCTAAAGGTTGGTCCACTTCACAAGGGTGAAGAAACCTTTCACCCAGTCAATCAAAGGCCACACCATTTACAAAGCCACCCACATTTGTTAGATTTATTTGATGGCCAAGGGAAGAAAAACATAAACATCTCAATTTCCTTTTAAAATCAAGAACAATAAACTAAAAATATTGCCATTAAATACAAGAAGTAAAAGCACCCAGTTTGGGAGGGACGCATGAAGCACACAGAGGACTACCTCAGGTCTTTAAAAATGGAGGACTCTGCCTTTAATCTGCCTGGAATGTATAGGTATTGTAAAAGGCTATGGCAGGCTAGGCACAGTGGCTCATGCCTGTAATCCCAGCACTTTGGGAGGTCTAGGCGGGCGGATTGCCTGAGCTCAGGAGTTCGTGACCAGCCTGGACAACATGGTGAAACCCTGTCTCTACTAAAAAACACAAAAAATTAGCCAGGCATGGTGGCCTGTAGTCCCAGCTACTCAGGAGGCGGAGGCAGGAGAATCACTTGAACCCCGGGAAGCAGAGGTTGCAGTGAGCCAAGATCGTGCCACTGCACTCCAGCCAGAGGGGTGACAGAGCAAGACTCCATCTCAAATAAATAAATAAAGGATATGGCTTCTAGAGTGGGGCAGAATAATCTGCTACATGAGTTCCAATTGTGGTGTGCTAAAGCCAACTCCTACTGGTTTATGAGAGCTAATTGCTAAACATCCAGCAATTCTGCAAACAGGGTGTTAAAATGTTAGAATCTTGACATCAGCCATGAAGGGAGTATTTACACCACAGAAATTGGCAAGCACTACAAGCCAGGTCTCCCTCCAACCCCCACGCCAGAGAGCCAACTTATCTGCACACCAATGAGTTAAATATTATTAAGGAACACTTTAATGACAAAGCCCAATTTTCTGAAAATGCTTATGGGACAGGGTCTCTCTACTCCCCAACTCTTAGACTTTCAACCTTTCCCTGAGTGACTCCAAGTCTAGTTTATATTTTTTCCTTTTTTCTCTACACTCTTTCAATGCCATTGCCAACTATCAAACTAAACACTAATTTGAAAGACACCCATATTTGACTGTTAATGCTTAAGAGGACAAGATTTGAATTCGAAGCTAGATGAGACACGTCTGGGTTTGAATCCAGGAGCCTGCATTCACCAGATGTGTGCTTTGAACAATATGCACTCCACATGCTTTAGTTTTTTTTTTCTGAAAAGGGCATCATAATAACCACCTACTGAAGTTCTCGTGGGAATCGTATTTCCCTTACAGGGTGGTTGTAGGGATTAGATGAGCTCTTACAGGTAAAGCACTCAGAACTCCAGCCAGTACGGAAAGCTATATGAATTGTAACTGTGTAATGTGATAGATATGTTAATTAGCTTGATTTTAACAGTCATTACAATGTATATGTACATAAAAATGTAATGGTCCGGGCACAGTGGCTCACGCCTGTAATCTGAGCAGTTTGGGAGGCTGAGGTGGGTGGATCACCTGAGGTCAGTAGTTAGAGACTAGCCTGGCCAACATGGTGAAACCCCATCCCTACTAAAAATGCAAAACTTAGCCATGTGTAGTGGTGGGCATCTGTAGTCCCAGCTACTTGGGAGGCTGAGGCAGGAGAATTGCTTGAATCCAGGAAGTGGAGGTTGCAGTGAGCCAAGATTGCACCATTGCACTCCAGCCTGGACGACGAGAGCGAAACTCCGTCTCAGTACAAAACAAAAGGTGCATTATCATGTCATACACCTTAAATATACAGCAGTTTTATTTGTCAGTCGTATCTAACTAACTTTGGGAAAAAGGAGGAAGCCCTATCCATGTATTTATAATCGAATGTATTATACGATTGGGAAGATTAAGATACCATGTGTACCTAGGACACTGTAGACACTCAGCAAATGGTAATTGTTTCTATTCTTCTTCTTGCCATTCTGCTATTATACAGAATTAATATTTGTGTTCAAACACTTTTTCTGCAGCAGCTGGAGGCTGATGTCTCCTGGGCCATAGCCCGGCCATTTGTCACACCTGATGCCATTTCTGGGCTAGACCTTTAGCTCGGAAAATGAACAAGCCCAAAGTGGCTGGGCCAGGAGACCCGGACTGCAAGACGAGATAGGGCAAGGAGAGCAGCATGCTGTTCCCTTTCTTTGAACTTACAGAATGTATTGCCTGGAACTCTGAGTCTGTAATAACTGCTTCTGACTTTACTCTGTATTCTCTTTTACAGGGGATCGTATTTGAACCTTGAGCACCACAGGGATAGCGTTATTCCCTTCCTGTGCTTTTGTGGCTGGGATGGGATGGGTGGAAGTTAGGGGCTTCTGCACCACCTCTCCTCAGCTGCTTCACCACCCTCTCACTGGGGTAGTGGTTTCACTTTCCGTAGCACTCTGGCGGCAGAGAACCTGTGGGACCCACTCGTGGGCAAGCCAAGGCCAACAGCAAAAGCAAAGGGGAATGTCTCCCTGACTCATGGCCCACTGACACAGCCCACATGACACTCCAACTCTTTAGCCTTTCTGGACTGAGTCCTCTGGAGGCTTTTGGCAAAGCCTCTTCCCACAAAGCTCCATCTCATTAACAGAGGAACTCCTAGCTCTGAAAAATACAGCATGTCTCAGCAGGTGGGCAGATCGACATCAGGTTCCGCAAGTGAAAACAGTCAAGAATGAAGCTTCGTTACCTGGAGGGGTAAGAGGCTTGATTGCGTGTTTTGGATAGAGTGACCCTTGACACAGTATATGGTTTTCATTTGGTTTCTCTAAAATCATGCTGATCAGGGGTACTATCAATAGTAACCCTGTTGGATTGTGATGCTAAGATTACAGAATTTATACAGAAATAGCACTAGCCCTTTAAAGATCCGTGCACTGTAAGAGTCAGGAACAGCAGGATGAATCTCCGCTCTCCAGAATCCCACACACGGCGGGATGAATCTCCGCTCTCCAGAATTCCACATTGGTCGCATATGGTGTTTTTGTTTGTTTGTTGTCCAACATCTCTTAAAAATGCCTCTTTTTTATATCAGTGTAAATAATATCAATCTACCGTGATGAACAATTGAAAAAGAGAAAGAAGAAGGAGAAACAAGAGGAAAATAATCATAGCTGACAACCAGGGGAGCCTTGCATGTGAGGAGCCATACTATTAAGTAGTTTAAATGCACCACTTTGGATAGCGAACGTAACTACCTAAGAAGCACACGTTATCAGCTCTGTGTTGCAGAAGAGGAAGATGAGTCCCAGAGAAGGGGATCCACTTGTTCAAGGTCACACAGATAATCGGTGGTATAGGCAGGACTCACGCATCAGCCAAAGCTTTATGCTTAACCACTGGGATTTATATTTTCAAGCATTTTGGATTTGCGGATTGAAATAAATGAACACATGAGGTAAGCTGGCATAATTAAATATATTAGGACATATAAACCAAATTCTTTTCTCTGTTTTGTTTTAGAGACAAGGTCCTGCTCTGTCATCCAGGTTGGAGCGCATGGTGCCATCACGGCTCACAGCAGCCTGCAGCTTCAAACTCCACAGCTTCGGCCTCCCAAGGAGCTGGGACTGCAGGCACACGCCACCAAACCTGGCTAATTTAAAACATTTTAAATACCTTTATATGTTTTTACTTTTGTTTATTTATTATTATTTTTTGAGATGGAGTCTCACTCTGTCCCCTAGGCTGCAGTACAGTAGTGCAACCTCGGCTCACTGCCACATCTGCCTCCCAGGTTCAAGCGATTCTCCTGCCTCAGCCTGCCGAGTAGCTGGGACTACAGGTGTGCACCACCACACCCGGCTCATTTTTATATTTTTAGTAGAGATGGGGTTTCACCACGTTGACCAGGCTGTTCCCGAACTCCTGACCTCAGGCGATCCACCCACCTCGGCCTCCCAAAGTGTTGGGATTACAGGCGTGAGCCACCGCACCTGGCCTCCTTTTCATATCTTTATATGCAGTCTCGCTGCATTGCCCAGGCTGGTCTTGAATCCCTGGCCTCAAGTGATCCTCCTGCCTTGGCCACTCACAGTGCTGGAATTACAGGCATGAACCACTGCTCCTGGCCCAGCTGTTTTAAAAAGCAACAATCTTGCATTGTAATGTTTGCCAATTTTTGTGGTGCAAATACTCCCTCTATGGTTGATTTCAAGCTGCCAATGGTTTAGTACCCAGATTGTAAAATTCCTGAATATTTAAAAACTGTCTCCCTCACCCGCTGGCTCCAGCACACCCCTGTCTGTAAACACATAGTGGAGAGAGTCTGATGTAGGTTTAGGACGTATGGCCTTGTGCTCTCGCGTCTCTTTACTTACATGATGCTGTAGCGTAATTCAACCATTTTGAGCTTCAATTTCCTTCCTCAGCTGCAAAACAAGAAAGTTAAAAGAATCAACTTTTACTTACTCACTTACTTTTACATCATGTGAATTAATCAGGAAAAGCCAATATAGTTTTCTTTTTTTTGTTTTTTTTTTTTTGAGACGGAGGCTCACTCTGTTGCCCAGGCTAGAGTGCAGTGGCACAATCCTGGCTCACCGCAGCCTCCACCTGCCAGGGTCAAGTGATTCTCCAGTGTTGGCCTCCCAAGTAGCTGGGATTATAGGTGTGCATCACCATGCCAGGCTGATGTTTGTATTTTTAGTAGAGACAGGTTTCACCATGTTGGTCAGGATGTTCATGAACTCCTGATCTCAAATGATCCGTCCACCTTGGCCTCCCAAAGCGCTGGAATGACAGGTGTGAGCCACCGTATTTTTTTTTTTTTCAATTTGAAAATGGGGAATCCGTTAGTAACCAAATAGGTCACTTTTAAGAAGAAACTTCAATTTTAAATTTAATGAAATTCAGTACAAATAGTTCTCTCTTCCCCTTCCCACCCGCTAATCTTGTCTCGGCTTTTCTTGAACTTGCTTCCTTATTGGGTAATAGTTGGAACACACACAGCCAAAGTCCCTTTGCAATTTCACTTTGGAAGTATTTTGATTTTCTAAGGAAAAGGTGAGGATGTTTAATATAATTAGTTTCCAATAATCCTATTTATTGTATTGCATATGCATATAAAAGTGATCCACAGACTTCTCAAGACTGCCAGAGAGTGTATGGCCAAAAAGAAAATAAAATAAAACATAAATGAGAATGGAGGGTTTAGGAAGAGAATGTTTTCCCTCCTCGGTGCTGAAGTGGGGAGGTTTCTAGCGAAGGCAGTAAAGCCACCCCCCTCACGGGACTCTCTCGCAAAGTGCAAAAGGAAAAGAACATGTATACCTTATTCTTCTGAATAAATGCCTAACTTAACTGAAATGTATTAGGCATGTGGAGTTTCATTGACTTTCTTTTGCATGTTATCCATTTTTCCACCTTCCTCCTGTTTTGTTGAGATTGAGTCTTCCTCTGTCATCAGTTCACTGCAACCTCCGCCTCCTGGGTTCAAGGATTCTCCTGCCTCAGACCCCGAGTAGCTGGAGTTACAGGCACCTGCCACCACACCCGGCTCATTTTTGTGTGTTTAGTAGAGACAGGGTTTCACCATGTTGACCAGGCTGGTCTCAATCTCTTGCCCTCATGATCTGCCCACCTTGGCTTCCTAAAGTGTTGGGATTACAGATGTGAGCCACTGTGCCCGGCCTCCTTTTTTTTTTTTTTTCTTTGCTATATAGCCTTTAGATCAATGTTTATAGTTGAAAAATAACATTCTTTCCCTTATGGGGAAGCAGGTGATTTTGAGATAATCTACAAGGAAACAAAAGCTTTCCGTTCTCATGTTGTTGGAGACTTGGATGTCTCTTAACTTCCTTGTCTAACGGGAAGATGACTTTACATTCCCTCATTCCTGTAATGAATACTGTGGAGACCTGCTTCTTGGAGCCAGACTGAAGGCTCTGGGGCTCTGGGGCCAGTGAGATAAATGTGTCATGCCCCTATGCCCCTGTCCTCAAAGAGCTCCCAGATTCACAGAGGAGGACATGAGGTGAACGAAACATTATGACACAAGGCGGGCAAGGAGTGCTGTAAGACAAGAAGGAGCTGTGGGAGGTGCACCTACTACACGTGGCTAGACTGTCCCCACTTACGGGTCTATCACAGCTATAGAGGTTTTCTCTATTAAAATTACTTTCTTTTTATTGATTAATATAGAATTTTATTTTATCTTATTTTATTTCAGATGGAGTTTCACTCTTGTCGCCCAGGCTGGAGTGCACTGGCATGATCTTGGCTTACGACAACCTCCACCTCCCCAGATCAAGCAATTCCCCCACCTCAGTCTCCCAAGTAGCTGAGATTATAGGTGCCTGCCATCACGCCTGGATTAATTTTTTTGTATTTTTTAGTAGAGATGGGGTTTTGCCATGTTAGCCAAGCTGGTCTTGAACTCCTGACCTCAGGTAATCTGCCTGCCTCAGCCTCTCAAAGTGCTGGGATTACAGCGGTGAGTCACCGTGCCAGGCCATTGATTAGTAAAGAATTGTGTGTGTGTGTGTGTGTGTGTGTGTGTGTGTGTGTGTGTGTGTGTGTGTCTTTTTGAGACAGAGTCTTGGTCTGTTGCCCAGGCTGGAGTGCAGTGGCGCAATCTTGGCTCAGTGCAACCTCTGCCTCCTGGATTCGAGTGATTCTCCTGCCTCAGCCTCCTGAGTAGCTGGGATTACAGGGGCCCGCCCCTACGCCCTGCAAATTTTTGTATTTTTAGTAGAGACGGGGTTTCACCATGTTGACCAGGATGTTCTCTATCTCTTGACCTGGTGATTGGCACACCTTGGCCTCCCAAAGTGCTGGGATTCCAGGTGTGAGCCACTGTGCTGTGCCATTGATTAGCAAAGCATTTTAACAGTAAAGGTAAGAATAGATAAATTTAATGGCTCATTTTCATTTCTTCATCCTCATGTTCTAACATAGAGTGTATCTGAATTTCCAAGCACATATTCACAGGTGCAAAAAAAAAAAAAAAATAACACATGGCATGATTTCATCAGTGGTTCTTAATCTTGGGAATATGGTAGAATATGGTACCTGTGAGAGTTTTCAAAAAATACCAAAGCTGGAGCTACTTTTTGGTGGGCAAGGACCCAAGAAAACTCACAAGCAAAAATGAGATGCCCTCAAGGTGGGCGAGATGCTATCAGAGTCTCTGCTGCTCCAGGGACCCAGACTGATCCCCACCGTTCATGGCACATATTGGCTGAAGGGGCTTCCAAGCGGAACGCTACCTCTCAGCATTGGGAGATCAGCACCCTGGGCACAGAATCTGCCATACAATGAAGCAGGAGTGGCCTCTCTAGAAAAGCTCCCCACCCCTCAGAAACGCTTTCCTACCTTGAGAATTGACACTTGACATTTCACAGTTAGATAGCCACACCTTTTCCAGCTTTATTTACTTCAAAAATAGAAATGTGTCTGAGGAATGACAATAAAACTTAGTGGTGATTTGTATCACTTGGGGCTCACTTCTTCATAGCAGGTTTGAAAGGGGTTAGCAGGGCAAGTTTGTGAGACTATTGGATTCTAAAGGGTGCCAGAAGAGAAGTCTACATTTGGCACTTCTGAGCCCTGGTCTGCAGCTCACCCTAAAGCCCCTCATAGAACAATATCATTTAATGCTCTTTGTAATTCTATCATTATATGGATGATGCTTTTCTTCAATTTATTTAGTTTTTTTTTCAAGATGGTATCGTGCTCTGTCACCCAGGCTGGAGTGCAGTGGCAGGATCTCGGCTCACTGCAACCTCAGCTTCCTGGGTTCAATCGATTCTCCTGCCTCAGCCTCCTGCGTAGTTGGGATTATAGGTGCCTGCCACCTCGCCCAGCTAATTTTTTGTATTTTTAGTAGAGATGGGGTTTCACCATGTGGGCCAGGGTCTCAAATTCCTGGCCTCATGATCTGCCCACCCTGGCCTCCAAAAATGCTGGGATTACAGGCATGAGCCACCATGCCCGGCCTTTCTTCTAGTTTTGACCTCTCTGCTGTCTAGAAACTTTTTCATGTCAAAAGTTCACATCGTTCATTCCTATCAAAAGAACCAAATGAGATACAAACAGAGAACTACAATTTATACGGCAGAAGTGGGACAAATCACTGAGATCCCTTCCAAAGTGATTGGCACAGGCCAGGGTGGTGCTTCTCGTATGCTCTTCATACAACATGGTATGGATCATTCTGGCTTAGAAGCATAAGCTCCTGTCCTCAGAGAGGCTGGTCCCAGATGGTTCTGTAGGGCACGTGGCACATGCTGAGTGCTCTGTAAATGTTGAGGCTATGAGGTAATCTGCAGAGGACACCTCCTCAGAGGAAGGTGCTACACAAATACTAGTATTACTATTCTTTTAGCACAAATTTATAATTGCCTTTCTGTTAAACATTGCAGCAAGTTAAATTCATTCAGTATGATTAGTCATTAAACAAATGCCTGGTAATGACTGCCTTCTTATTTTAGCAGTTCCTCAAACCACTGGGGTAATACCCTATCAGGCTTTTCCCCATTGTCAGGTTAATTGGGTTGTACAACCTGCGTTTCAAGAGAGAGCATACACACTGCTTTCCAGCAACCGGACCGTGACTTAAGGCCAGCACCGAACTAATTTACCTTCGAGTTTTCTCTATGGCTCTTGCCATTCCGTTAGGTACAATTGACTAGTTCATTACAGCCTACAAGTAGCTTAAGGCCATTTCTACCTGTTAAAAAAGAAATGTGCTTTTCAAACCAGAATGTGGGCAGGAATTCTCCTGAAATCATTCCTGCAAAGCTGAAACCAGTTGAAGCGAGATGGGCAGTGATGGCTTTCACCTGTGCTCGCATTGGGGCGGTCACCCTAAGTCCCTGCCATCTTAGCAAGCGGGACAGAAATAGTTAAGTCCAGAAGGCTGTGAGTTAAAAACCCTGTCTGAGAGAAAAGCAACGTGAGATGTCCCAGCCAGGTGTGGATGGAGGAAGACCGCACTCCTGAAGCCATTCTTTGCATTGAAGGTCATCTGTCTGGTGCCACCTTAGAAACCGGTCCGCTTCTGCAGAGGACATGGAATGATAACACCCCGCAAGTCAGCTGACTGCTGTGTCAGAGCTGCTGCTGCTTTCTGCATTATCGCAACTGCCAGCTCCAGCTCCTGCAGCTTCCCAGTCGCAATGCAGCAAAGCAGGGGCGTGCAACTAGGCACACAGCAACAGAGTTGCAAAGTTTTCTTCTCCTGCTACTACTTAGCCTGCCTTACGTGAGGAGTATTTACCTTTGTTTAGCCAGGAGCAGAGATGCAGCCTGAATGTACGTGATGGCTTCTAACTTGGCAGCGTGAATTTTCAGCTGAGCAGGTACTGCTCCGAGCCTTGTAACCAAACTGCCTCTGAAGGAGCACAGCGGGTTTCCCACCATGTGTGTGAATAGTTTGGGGGCTGCTTGTGCCACACTGCTCTACCTGCAGGAATAAAGGCTAGGACAAAGGAGAGGATGTTTGCCATGGTTTGTCTGGCTGGGGCCTGTGCGAGCGACTCACTGCACTGATGCTGTGTGACTCCCCAGCTCACATTTCAGGCTGGTCACCAGGCTGGCGCAGATCCCCACTCCTCAGTTAGAGCATGGTTTAAAGGAGAAACCAGGCTCCCTGACCTAAATCACTCCCATTCCTCTCTGGACGCGGGACAGCTGTCGACTAGCAGTGACACAACCAGCCATCAAGTGGAGAATCGTTGCGACTGCAGTCTGTGTGCAGGTGGAGCCCGGGAGAATGACAGTCTAATTTCGGTCATCCAATGGCTTTTTCTTATTTTCCTAAATAGTCGTGCTCTCTAAGTATACAGTTGTCTGGATTAGCCTGGCTGCCATGCAATCTCATCGACTCTGGCTGGAAATCAGGGTGCCAGGCAAGCCTTTAGCTCCGGCTCCTTTCTGCGTGATGCTATGCAGCTAGGATGGGTCACGCTGACAACACAGAAGGAAGCAGGAAGCACCGCTTTGTCTTCTCTTGTGATATTAGCGGAACATAACTCTTCTTCGCAGTGATGCCTTCCCACATGTCTGTGCGTGTGCGTGTGTGTGTGTATTTTAATTTATCTAATTGAAGAGCCTAACAAATATCATCATGGATGTGGTTTTAATGATTTGGAAAAAAAAAAAAAAAAGCCTGTGGAGACAGCGATTTGAAACAGTGGCACATTTAGGTTATTGCCAATTTGAAATACTTGGTTTGTGAAGCTGAGCCCTAAGGGACAAGCTCGGTAACTGAGGAAGAGATCGTAGATAAAGAAATAAAAATGACAAGCGTAATGGAGGCTCTGCGAAGGGAGTGTCAGAGCATCAGTTCACGGATGGCAATTTCACCAGGCTGAGATTGAATAATTCATAGATTGAAATTACCCTGCTTTCACCTTTCCATTTAAACCGGCATGATCTGAATCTCTAATAAATTTTCAAGATAAAGTAAAATGCCAATTTGAATCTGAAGAGCTTCTGAAACCAGATGCTGCATCCCTGAATCTTTCAGTATCTTTCACAATTATCCTGTGAGAACAGCACTTCATCACGAAGCACCATTACCAGGGAAAATTACTGTGATTACAATAGCAACAATAGAACACCATCAAATGATCTCTAATTTACCTAATTTGCTAAGACTGACTGTGTGGTTTTGATATCCATTTTATGTCACTATGCCCGGCACCGGTGAAGCTATCTCACACTGGAACAAAAGTGGCATCATGTGTATGTGTGTGTGTGTGTGTGTGCGCGCGCACGTGTGCCCGCGCTGCTACCTTAACTGTGAAAGCCTAGCAAAGAATATTCTCCTAGGTTACAGTATTTCTTTCCTTGGTTCGCATTTTTTCCAATGCCTGTACCCCAAGTGTGTTTGGGGAAATAGAGAACCTGTTATAGACTGGGGGACTGTTTTTTGATACAGAAGAGCATTGGTTTGTTAATTTATAAACCCTCTTTATTTTAATGTATACAAGCATGTGTTTACTAAAAGGGAGGATGGATGTCGTTCTGGGAGAGTAGTTTTAAAATGCAGCTGAGATGTAGTGTATGTGTTTGTTTCTTCTTTGAAACCCCTGTCTGTCTCTTTCAGGTTAGAAATCCCTTCAGGGAACTGTAGACCTGGTGCGAGGTGTTGGAAACCTCTGAGACTGCAAAGAAGCTCAGGAGATACAATCAGTAATAGTTCTGCGCAGCTCTGAGTAAAAGCATGCATGTTCAATTCAGTGATCACATGAAGCTTGGGTACCACGTCGGCTGTGTTTGTGTCTGCTCGCTCTGGAGCAGTCTGTACTGAAGAGAACTTTGTGGGACAGGCTGCATGGTCCATGTCAGGGTAATTGCGCCATCCTGAGAAGGTGGCGTGGATCATAAATCCTCACTGGAGAACAGACTGGAATCATTTCTAGGCACAATAGCTTCTGGAATTTGACTTTGAATAGTTTGAAGGTAGTATGTGGGTTTCTGCTAGTCAAGTGATTTAAGTGTGATTACCTAAGGCAAGGTTTTGGAGTTAGGACAACCATTTGGGAGGAAGGTAGGTTTGAAACACACCTTTCTAATGTTCTGGGGTTTTTGCTGGAGATCCTTAGCTCTGATACGTTCCTTAATCCATGATCACAGCTTGACCCCTTCATGTATCCTGTGACCCAACACGTACCTTTGTCAGAGCAGGTAAGTTGTGTTTCTCATCATCTGTATAATTGAATATGTTTTTCACTGTGTGCTTTCGGCAAAAACATGCTCTTCTGTGGTATCCTTTCTTTCTATTTATTGTTACTTTCTCCTTACTGTTAATTTCAGTACCCTTGAGATAACCTCTCAACGTTCTTCCCTTGTGTTTTTCTAAGTACAAATAAAAATGTCGTATTTTAAAACATGATTTAAATATAGTTTTTGTTCCCTTTATCTAACTAAATACATTTGAGCTTTTAATGCTTTTCAAAAAGAAGGAGAAACAGTTTTACTTAGTGATAATTTGTTTAAAAATAGGAAGCAATTCAGTAGATATCAATTATGTTACGATATTGGTTTTTTTTTTTTAGATAGCTCACATTTCTAATACCAAACCCATTATTCTTATCTTTCAAGAAAGAGGCTTGACTGGTAGTGACAAAAGACTTTTCAAAAGCTCACACTGTCTATGGGCTAAAGTGGTTTTCTTTTTTAATGATTAAAATGTAGTCTGGAGATTCTGCAAAGGGTTTTTAATTTCTAGCATTTTAAAGCTGTTCAGTAGTTGAAGTTTGAACAGGGTAATCATTGTTTGAGCAGATCGGTTTATATGTCTGATGTTTAAGTAACAAAGGATTCCTTAGATCATATAAGAATACTTGCTAATCAGACTTCTGTCAGTTGCTTGGGTTTCATTAGAAGCTAATGATATTCACTTGATAAAAATGGGAAATTTGAAGCTTATCATTTGATCATTCAGGTATTTATACTTTATAGTCTTGGAAAATGTCTTGTTTCTGTAGGATGCAAGTGCCAGAATATTTGTCTTTTATATCAAATACGAGCAAGAGTTTATTGCATGTTAGTGTTTGATATTGAAATTCACTTGTTTTGCCATAAAAAAGATAAGATCCATTATATAGAGCAGCTAACTTAAAAATCTTAACTCCATTGTTTCTTTGAAATCAATTTTTCTTTTCAACTTCAAGTAATTGAACATAAATGAACATAATACTTTAAAATACATTCATAAGTTTTAATCCATTATTGCGAATGTTTTTACTATTTATGGCTATATCTTACTTATAATGCTCTGGATAAGCATGACAGGTGAAAAAGACATAGAATAACTTTACATTTGCAGGTAATTTGAAAAGAAAGAATCAAGTGTGAAAGTATACCAGCATGAGTTAATTTAGGTGAAATCTTAGTCATGGGTTAACATTATTTTGCAAGGTGTGTGTGTGTGTGTGAATGAGAAAAATAGGCAAAAAATGTTCCCCTCCTCTTTACTTCTGAAAACTCTCAATCACTCTGGAACATCAGCTGCTGTCACAAAAAGTGATTTCAAATTTAAACACACAGTAACACATGCTTAGAGTCCACAAAAATGTGTTATGCTTTAGATAGAATGAGTAACTGTGGCAGCTAACAATTGCAGTCACTTCTGGATATTAGTGTATTTTATTTTACCTCATTGCTAGCATGGGATAAAAACCTAAACTAAAATGCTGTAGTGAAAAAATGCCTTTTTACATATAACCAAATAGGATATTCATAGTTGATGATCACAGTTGGATTTCTCCAATTAACATATTCTACAGGGACAGTGGCATAGTCTATTTTCCCCTAAGTTTTAAGCAAGTAGGAATAAAACACGCCTTTACCAAGGACCAATATGTGTGCTATGCTCGTCTGCCAAAGAGAAAAAGGCAGGCGAGACAAAAGAAACGGGTAAAGATAAAATGAAGCACTCTGTATTCAGTGAGCCTTTTTCTTTTAAATGGCGTCATCCAAAATAGTTGGTTATGTTGTGTCTGGGTACCATCTTTTTAAAGAAACTCTTCTCTCTAGTAAGATTTTTCCCCAACATTTCATTATACATTTACGTGAACATACAAAAAAGTTAAAAAATTGTGAGCACCCGTACATAAACCACCTCGACTCTATGATGACAGTGTACTGTGCCTGTTTTGTCACATATCTATGCAACTATCCACCCCTCTATTCACCCATCGAACCATCTTATTCTTTTGATGCACTTATAAGTAAGTTACAGACATCAGCACCCCCCACTCCTAAGGATACGCCTGCTGAAGTGTTGAACTAGAAGTCAACATTTGCTTACAGTGCTTACTTCTACGTAAGATATGTATGTGTATGGCGAGGACCCAATTTTGGACAAGTGCACTGTTGTATTTTATATGACATAAACTATCTCTTTAACATGATGAGTAGCTGGATGCAAAGTCTCATGATTCTATATTTTAACTTGGAAGGTACAAATCCTCATTTATAAGGGAAACCGCTTATGGTGGAGTTAAGTGGGCCTTCCCCATCTTCAGTTGCTATGTGTCCCCCATCTCAGCCTTCACCCACCATGCCCAGGGACCACTGGTGACTCGCCATCAGTTTTGGGATTGAGGAGGTGTCCAGGCATACAAAATTAATTCCCAGGGTCTATTCTTGTTCTTGGACCACCTTTCCTTTCTCTCTCCTGCAGGTGCATGAGAAGTAACTCATTGGCCTCTTGACCAATCACGAGCTTCCCTTCTGCCTGGATTCTTCTCTGCCTCTTCTCTTTTCTCTCCAACTCTTTTCACTTGCCTTTCTCTCTTCCATTTTCTCCCTACTCCCACCTTTTTCTTCTAGAAACAAAGGAACAGATCTCTTAATTTTTCAAGTCATTCTCCTGTACTCAATTTCATGGTGCAAAGATGAGGGATTTAAATAATCACAAGAACTCTTAAAGGGATTAGTTTCTCTTGGTCTTAATTAAAACATAAATGAGTTGAGAATTGTCCTCTCAAGACCTCTTCACTAATTCATCTCTTGGATCCAGTCATGTGAATGAGATTTACTCATTCACCCTTTTTTTTTTGAGATGGAGTCTCACTCTTGTTGCCCAGACTGGATTGCAATGGCGCAATCTCAGCTCACTTCAACCTTCACCTCCTGGCTTCCAGCAATTCTCCTGCTTCAGCCTCCTGAGTAGCTGGGACTATAGGCGCCTGCCACCATGCCCAGCTAATTTTGGTATTTTTAAGTAATAGAGACAGGGTTTCACCATGTTGGCCAGGATGGTCTTGATTTCTTGACTTCATGGTCCACCTGCCTCGGCCTCCCAAAGTGCTGGGATTACAGGTGTGAGCCACCGCGCCTGGCCCTACTCATTCATCTTTTAACTGAAGCCTACACCAAGCTTCTCAAAGATTTGAGTTTGTGTAGCTCTGAAGAACAGGAGTATTTGCTTTGCTTCCAAAATCTGCTAAGTTTCATAGACTGCGGCTTCCTGTCATGAGCCGTGGGCTGCGGCACTTCCATTCAGGAGCATCACAAGCCTTATGCCCTTGGTCTTTGGCCCCCCCAGGGTGTGGAAGTTTCTGAAGGCTTCTTCCCTGGGTTTCGGTCCACTTTCCCAAGGCAGTCACCTTCAGGTGGCTTCTCCCTCAGGCCATTTTTCTTTACTCAGTTCACCATGCCTAAACTTTTCATCGGAGAGATAACCATGAGTCTACCCTCAGCTGGAATTCTACCAGTTTGCCTATTTTTATAAAGCAGTAACTGGATATGACAGACTGGTTAAGAGTTTAGGCTCTGGAGTGAGACAAACCTGAACTGCGGTTGCGGTTTTGCAGTTTACACTAGTAGTATTACTCCAGGTGAGTCACGGAATCATTTTAAGCTTCACTTCTTCAGAAGGTTGTTATGAGCATTAGATCACACACACACACACACACGAACATAGGACCAAATTTTGGGAAAATGCACTATCTCGTGTGTTTGCATGTGTGTGTGTATAGTAGTACACTAATACATAACAAGTATATATCGCAATGCCTAGCACTTACATGCATCACATGTAGCACCTGACTGGTACTTGTTATGTATTAGTGTCATCATAATCGTCATCATCATCATCATTACCATAATGATCTCAACGGAAGGCGCCATCATCCCTGAGCTCAGCTGGCCCTCCATCAATCATGGTCATCTCCTAGATCCTAGCAGACTACTCTCTTCTTGTATGTCTAAATTTGCTTATCCTAAGGGACCTCCCATTAAAGTTCGCGTTTTTCAAGGTCTGAAAATATCCCCAGCTTTCAGCTCATGGCGGGGCCCAATGAGTGACTATATTTAATAATTTTCTCAGTTAGATTTCCAAATGAAAATTCAGGGGACAAAAATAAAGAGATTTCGGAAGTACAGGGAAGTAGTATGCCTGGGACTGTCCAGGTGTTTTACACACAATAAATTATTGATGTGTAAATGTCATTTAATCCAGCATAACACAGAGGTCAGTATCAGGGCATCTGAAGCCAAACAGTCAGTAATCTAATCCTGATTTTGTTGCTTACTATCTGTCTGAGCTTGGATGAATTTCTGACTCTTCTTTGTTTCTCAGTTTTTTTATACATATAAATTTTCTTATACATATAAAGTAAGGATAATGAACGACACCTTTGTCATGGGGTAGTACTGAGGATCAACTTACTTAAGATCTGCAAAAGACCTAGAAGAGTGTCTGGCACGTGGTGAAGCTATGGAAGCATTTGTTAAATAACAAAGTATAAATGAAAGGTGGACAAAGCAATCTTTGGGTAAAGATTACTTGAGTAGCCAGGCGCGGTGGCTCACACCTATACTCCCAGCACTTTGGGAGGCTGAGACGGGAGCTAGGGACCAGCCTGACCAACATGGAGAAACCCCACCTCTACTAAAAATACAAAATTAGCCAGTCTTGGCGGCGCATACCTGTAATCCCAGCTACTCAGGAGGCTGAGGCAGGAGAATCGCTTGATCCCGGGAGGCGGAGGTTGCAGTGAACTGAGATCATGCCATTGCACTCCAGCCTGGGCAACAAGAGTGAAAGTCTGCCTCAAAAAATAAAAAAAAAAAAAGATTACTTGAGTAAAGTCATCCAGAGAGGTTATCAACTGGTTCGTGATCACACAGCGAATTAGTAAAGCGTCCACCATTCAACACAGATATTCAAACAT